AAAAATGTAATGTATATCCATATCCAATTAAAATGTTTAGGGTTAGTGGTAGTGGTTTTAACACTGTGTTTGGGGCAGGGAGTAAGAGTTAGTTCGGAGTTAAATTCAAAATGTTTACATTATTATATATTTATTTTTTAATATTTTGAATTTAAATTTTTTTTTAATTGTAATTTTTAAAATTTTTTTAAACCAATTTTCTTTTTTTCTTATATGTACTGTTATTTTAATTATTATTTTAATTTTTAAGGTAAGGGTAGGTAGGTTAAGAATATTGTTATGGTTCATTTTATTGTATGAAATCAGTTTTCATATTCACATTTTTTTCAATACAAGTTTGGGTTTATTATTATTTCAATTTATTTTTGCTCTTTTTTTTTTAACTGTCACACACTTTCATTTTGTTTTCTGAAATTAGTTTAAATATTTTACCACAGTTTAAATATTTTACCACAATAATGTTTTATTCATTTTAAAAATGTATATTTAAATGTTTAACACTTAATTTGTTTAGTGTAAATTGTTGTAAAGGTTTAAAAATCTAAATATTATTATGATTATTAGAAGTTATAATTCTTAAATTTGCATTTAACATAATTAACTTTAAACAGTCATAAAAAAGTACAAGATTTGATTTGATTATTTTCAAATTTTGACTCTCAAGTCAGTTCATACTATGAAATCCCCCAAACATGTAAAAAACGTCATCATAATTTTTTAACGTCTGACTCAAAAAGACATGGTAAATTTTAATTTTGCCAAAATATTTGAAAAAACATATTTCTAAAAAAATACTCAAAATGCTCTGATTTGATGAGATTAGAAATTCGAAAAACAAAATTTTGGTCAGATATTGAAACATTTTGATGATGAAAATCTGTTAAAATCTCTTGCAAAAATGTTTTTTAATTTTATCTTCTCTGCATGAAATTTTTTTTCAAGAAATTTTTTCAAAAAAAGAATTTTCAAGAAATTAAAAAAAATTATTTTTTTGAAAAAATTTCTTGAAAAAATTAAAAAAAAAAAAAAAAATCTTGAAAAAAAAGCCTCCAAGTCCAGTTCATCAGGGCTCAGATCTGTGGTCACCTCATGGTCAGGACAGTGAGGACACTCCTCAGATCCTCCTCATTATTGCTATTTGACAAGGACTGGGTCAGACTGGGTCCCTGTGAACTCTGACCCAAGCACCCTTAGTCAGTTCAGAGGGTCCCTGTGACTTCTGACCCAGGGACCCTCAGTCCTTGTCAAACAGCAATAATGAGGATCTGAGGAGTGTCCTCACTGTCCTGACCATGAGGTGACCACAGATGTGGGACCTAATGAACTGGACTTGGAGTCTTTTTTTTCAAGATTTTTTTTTTTTTTTTAAAATGTCGAGAAATTTTTTTCAAAAGAATTTTCAAGAAATTAAAAATTTTTTTTTTCAAAATAGTTATAAAATTTTTTTTTTCTAAAAAAAATTTCTTGAAAAAAATTTTT